CTAATTGATCCAATACCACTTTTCCTATAAATTTCCTTATTTCCCTTTCATTCTACGTTTTCTATTTTAACGCACTAGGTGCACTCGCCTTGACGCGTATACTCGTCACAGGTTAATTCGATTACACAGTCGAGGAGGAATTTTTCGAAGCTCCTCAGTTAACTGATCAACCAGTTCGCAGTCGTCATTCGTCTCGATTAGGGAATTCCCGGTGACAGTGTTTCAGTAAACGCGACGTGTTTCCTTGGTGAAATGTTTGAACAAACGTAATGAAGAATGGTCGTCGATATTCCGGATGTCGCGCACGAAATTCATTCGGCTTCCTCCAGCGCGAAACGCGGCGCCGTATTTCTCGATTATCATTCGCGCGACTGAAGCGTGATCAAAATTAATTCGACGAACTGCTGTCGGCCGGCTTTCGGAAAAGTCGGGGATTTAGTTTCGTCGCTTCTTCGGAATTCCGAGCGGGCAGCTACACGCAAATAGAATTTTTCCGCGAAAGTTTCTCCATCGGCTCGAGCGACCGGTTACCCGCGGCGCGCCGTTAACGGATATCGCTAAATTTATCGATATTAAAACCGCGCCGGCGATGAGTTACAAAGCTCCGCCGCGCGCGCTTTCCCCTGCTTATTTCCTCTCGCGCCGGTTTCCGGTTCGCCTGTTCGCGCGCTTCTCGATAACAAAATCTTCAATCAGCCGCGGCGGCCGCCTGCTACTGCTTTTCAATTTACTCGGCTCAAGTTTATCGAGCCCGCCGTTATCTGTGTTACTCGTCCGACGAGTTTTTCCTATTTCTACGACATTATTAAAATTCTGCTGCCGGCCAGTTCTCTTTCTCGCGAAACAAACGGAATAATCCGCTGCCTGCATCAGGCTGTATCGTGCATCGATCATTCGACAGTTCTCTCGAAATTTTATCCAGCCTAGCATTATCAGCTTCTCACTTTCTCAATCTTTCAGTACCACTTCGTTTAATGCTTCTCAAATCAGTCGCATCCATGTTTCATCCAACAGAATTCGAACTTTGGAATACTAGGAAAATCTTCTTACTAGTCTACGTGTTTCGATATCTCGACTATTTCAGTTAATTTCATTATTGATATCTCTTCATTTTCCTAACTTTGATAATATTCTGTTGAGTTTTCAAAGCATTCACTCGTTTCTTCGTTCGTTCGAAGTGAAAAGCCCTTCCTCTCGCAGCTTTCGAACACGTACAATGATTCCAGATAACTCTCTCAATTCTTCGTTTCCAAACTCAACCGCGACTCACGACTCAATTATTCCGAGGTAAACCATGATTACTCAAGATCCACATTTTCATTATCTATAATAATAGTAGCCCCACTATAACATATATATACAAGGATTTTGAGGGTTGTTCGTCATCCTTGGCTAACGCACCCCATGCTCCAAAGAGCGTCAGTAGTCCAAGGGCTGTCTTGGTGACGCGAAGGCGACGTCAAAACACGCTGACACGTGATACTGATTCAACCGGACGATGATTATAAGATCGCCTTCACTCCGCGGCGGGGTGGCGAGGAAATCGTGGAAAAGAAGCGATTCGTCGGATCGACGCCGGGGCTCCGCGTGTTTCGAGGGTGAAATCGATAGCAGGTGGTGGCTCCCTGGAGCGAATCCGCCGGCCACCTACCCCGGCCATTTATTTATTTCCATGCGGTTCGTACGCCGCTCGTTGCTCCCCCCTCGAGCAAAACGAGAAGGGGGTTGGCAGAGCGGGGCCGCGCCGCTCCTGACCAGCGGCGGGGCGGACGGGGGCTCGAAGCGATTCACGGCGGGCTCGTAAAATCCGCGAGCGAGACTCGAAATCCGTAATCACGGTTCGCGCCGGTCGCGATGGAGATTCTCGCCCCCGTTATACAGGGTGCTCGGGACGTTCACGCTAGATTTACGGACGTTTATTTGTCGGGATTGTTGTACCCGCTCGTAGAAAAATTGATGCTCGTAAGTCCGGACCCGGGAAATCGTTGGTTTCGAACGGTTAGCAATGGCCAGTTTGAATGCGTGTAATCGCATCGATCGGGGATGGAAATGTTTACCGAAGAATGTTTGGGAAATTTGATGCGCGCCGGATTGACGCGTTGAAAATAAATCTGCCGTGAAGCGGGATTACCGGGGTAATGGGAATCCGAGTAACGGAATTTTTTCGTTTTACGGGAAGAATGATTTTTCTGCAACAGTTCTATGTTCATATTTAATTCGCGGTGTTTCATGGATAATAAGAAATCTATATGAGTCGAGAAATATATAATGAACATAACGGAGAGATTGAAACGAGAATATTGTTCCGTCATGATACTGTTATGTAATAGAGACTGCCGATACGAGAAACAATACTACTTCTGCAACAGTCCTGTATTTATATTTAATTCGCGGTGTTTCATATTTCCGTTTAATTTCTCGCGCGAACGGAGATACCGCGCAGCGATCCGTCGCCCCGACAAACGCCTTAAATGGAATCTCGACGGAGGCGCGCGCGACGTTTACGAATAACATAAAAAGGACGGTCCTCCGGCGACGTCGGCGAAAACACTTCTCCGAATGACGTGCGTCAATATCAGCCGTCCGTCCGAGATAAGCAGCGGCGGGGAATGCTTGAAACGCTTTTCTCGCGCTTTATTATTCTACAAGCTCCTCCGAGGCGAGAGTGGCTGGTCCCCATTGGCGGTGAACGTGTATTTTTTTTTCTCCCGTTCGCGGGATCGAAAGGAGCAGACATCTGTTCCATCGACCGAAACGCGGCCGAGGCTCGCTGAAAGGGGAGAAAGCCGGCGAAACCACGGGGAGAGAGAGTAAGTCGCCGCCGCCGCCGCCGAGGCGAATCGTCAAAGACGAATCCAACTCGATTATTTTCTCTTCGGAGTGGCTCTGTTCCCGCGGTGGCGCGGAAACGATTGCCACAATTAGATGAATCAACAGGCCCCGGGGACGGCAACAACACTCTTTATTTACGAACCTCTCGCTTAAAGACGCCGCGCGGAAGGCTTGTCCGAGGACGCGATCCCCTTCGAACAATATTTTATCATCCTTCTCTTTGGAATTTAACTCTTTGAGAGGCGACTCTGTCGTCGCTTGATTTCATACAGCGGATCTCTAAAGACTTGTGTGTCAAATTAACACTGGGTTTGCGGAGCGCTTCAATTTGACGTAGATTGAATTTTATAAACATTATTTGGTAAATGTTTTGATCTATTAATGATTGTCTATTTCTACATCTACAATTTCCAAAATCTGAATGAACGAATATCAACTTCCCCGGGAACAATAGAATAAACTGTACAATAAATGCCTGTACACCTACTGTTAATACTCGAACTACTGTGCTAGTTAAAATGACTGGTTTCGATTTTTTAGTTTAGCGATTATTGATATCTTCGAAGCATTGACTGAGCTCTGATCAGGTTTGTTATCGATGATTTGCAAGGAACGCGGAACAACTTTTTCAAAGGTCCGTTTATTTCCAGCGCGATTGTACCTCGAAGATAAAGCATTGATAACAACAAGCCAGTGTTTCGTTCCATTGGAAAAAAACTCGAAATAGGACGAGCCGGTTCGTCGAAGGGAAGCGTTCTTCGATTGATTTATTCATTCGGCAGTCCGAGCTCGAACATCGCGCGCCTACGCTCCGCGACTGGCCGGTCGGACACGCGATCGGCGTTCCACGATTTTTCTCCGCGGCAGCTAGAAGTGGAACTCGAATCGCCACTCGTCGAGTTGCCTTGCCACGCGATGAATTTATGCGGTACGGGCCGTTTAGCGGCACGAGATTCGTGTTTCTATCGTTGAAGTGTCCGCACACGTTCGTCGAAGCGAAATTGATGCCTGGAAACGCTCACGGTAATAGGAGACACGCGGCATTCGTGGGAACTGGCTGAAAAGCTCCGTTAACCAGACAACTTTCATTCGACGTACGAAACACAATATTTCGAATCTTGATCTCGTCAATGGAAATTACATGGAAACCAGCCTCTGTAACAATTCTCCAAAATATCACCGATCTCTTACTACTCAATGCTTTCCTATCGATCACAATTATTTCACTGCAGACTGATAATATCAAAACAATCTCATTTCCACGTACGCTTAAGAAATAATACCGATCTCTACAAGATTTAGCTAAAAATTTCATGATAAAAGCAGCTATAGCTACTGAAACGACTGAAACAACACACCGAAGAAGCGAATATTTCCCATTTTTCGCGAGAAAGATTAATCGAACCCGCCGATTTCAGGACGCGCGATCGCAGACACGGATTCGCGTCGATCGAAGCGCACGGTGGTGTGTTGGCCGGGTCCGCGTATGGCGAAGTTCTGCCGAGAGAAAGGAACGAGGCACGAGGGACGTCCCCGGGTTTCGATTATCGTCGATAACTCGGCTGGATGTATCCCTTCCGTGCTATAGCAGTAGTTTCCGGAAATTCGCTTCGCCCCCGGGATTATCCCGTCCCGGGAATTCCCATCTCCGACGCCATGGTTATGCTCCCTTCCAGCCTGCTGCCACGTTCAACCCTTACCCGCGCGACGCGTTCCCTCGCCATCTCCACGGCTTTGAACCCCTTTTGTCTTCGTGCCCCGCCACGATTTGTCCCGAATTACTTCGCCGGGAATATTACGTCGCCTCCCCGTGTCTCCTTTCCCAAGAAAACGTACCGCGACGCGCGGATCTCGCCGACTTTTTCACGAGCCTCCCGTAAATTGCGCGACAGTCCGAGCCGCGCGGTTTAGTTTCGGCGATTTTATTCGAATTCTGCTACTCGTATCGCTACTCTATTTCTGGGGCTAATGATTAACGTGTTACCATTGTTCCCTATAATTTGCTCGCGGCTAACCGTTGTACGAATGATTATTAATGTTGCTATCGCGGTTAGGGTATTATATTATTTTAGCTGCCAGCTAATTGCACCGCGCGATGCTATTGGCGGCGGTACAATGGATTCGCGAGCATGGTTTTTGCTAATTGGTTGCTTGCTCCGCTGTTTCAGAATGCACGTTTCCACCGAGGTGGGAGGGCACCTGGTTCCAGAGCGGGGTCACCCATCCGATCGTGATTTCGAGGAACGAGCTGTCCGGCAAGGGCAGGTGTCTGCACAACGAGGGCGACAAGTTCCTTTTGGTGAACCAGTGAGTAGAAGCTTCAGTGATATCGGTATATTACGACAGTAATTAAAGTAAAACTGTTATATTATAACAGTTTACCTTGAACCCTCGAGTCAGTAACAGAACGCAAATTGACGCATATTACATTTTAGAAATATTATTTTGTAAATTTTTACGCCGATTTTCATTGACGCGATCACACTGACACATACCCTAATTACCTACTATCAAATCTCCAGTTTCCACAATCTGAATAAACGAGAATCAATTCTTTTAGAAATAATAGAATGAAGTGTACAATAAATGCCCGCAAATCTAGTGTTAATACCACCATCAAAATCATTAATCGTTATTAGAACAGCTTTCCCCATTGATGGTCTCTATACGTCGTCACAGTCGCGAGTGCAACGGGGTTAATCGCTCCGCGACCTCGGCGAGCAAGAAAGTCGGGGTGGAAACGAGAAAATCGCGAGAAAGGCGCGAAGAAAGAAACACCTGGCGCGAATTCGCGGCGATACGTTCCTCGTAGTTTGGCCCGAAGGCTGCCAGGGATTAAAAGCGAGGTTCGTCGAGACGACGGTGCTCCGGCCGGAGAAACTCGCTCGCTCGCTCGCTCGCGCGCGCGCCGAAGGGGGTGGGACGTCGCCGTTTCGCCGCGTAATGCTCGTGTCACACGAGCTGCCCGAACTTTTCGTGGAGATTCCTATCGGGTTCGCCTGCAAAGTGTCCGATCGATACGACCGGCGAAATAGGGAAAAAAGAGAGAGGAGAAAGAGCGCCGGCGGAAGCGGCAAGGGGCGGGGGGGCGGCAAGGCGACACAGCCGCCCGGGGGCTGAAATTCGAGCGGCGACCAGCCGCGAATATTATCTTTGAATTTGAATATCGAGCCGGATCGGATCATCTGCCGCGACGGAAACCAATAGAAGTTCACGGCGGCACGGACTGAGCATCGAGCTTTCTCGTTCCGCTCGACTTAACCCTCGCGCGCCGTTTAAGTCGATCCCGCGCGAATCGGGAATTTATTTCCAGCTGTTCTGGTAGTTACGAGAATTTACGAATGCGAAACTTCGAATCAGTCAGTGTGTAGATACATATTTTTTGGCATTTTCTTAGTGTTTCATTGATTGGGCTTCGTTTAATTTCAGAAATTGTTTGGTCTCTAAAGAATTTTTATGAGTACCTTGGGAACTAACGCGGTTAAGTCCTGAAAAGAATTGAGAAAATTAATGTTTCTGAAATTATTGTACTACATATTCAGAAGTTATGAAAGAACTTTCTAGAAACACGAATGAGTAGATCCTTGAATAGCTGCAAAGAATATTCATTCCATGGAAATTTACAGAAATAAGAAAATATCGATGACTTAACCCCATTAGTGCTGCTCTAATTTGCCGGGATAGCCGCGAGATTCGCGAACTGAACAATTTCTAACACCAGTAAATTAGCATGAACGTTCCAGGCCGCCGGTCGGCTATTAGAATCATTTATTTCCCGCGGGGCGGACGTCGAAGAACAGGGAACGCTATTAGCGCTAGCTCAATATCGTTTTTGCCGGGGCGCGATGACTCTTTACTCCCGGCCAGTGGTACGAGCGCAAAACAACGTCGACAATGAAACGAGGAGCGTTTCCCGTCAGTGGGAACGGTTGATCCGAAGGGACTAATGACGCGGCAAACTTTCTTCCCGCCTTAAATCGACTAACGTAATGGAACAAAGTTTCGCCGGGCCGCTAACTTTCGGCTCGGGAGTTCGAACTGTGCGCCGCAGATACACGATAAATCGTCTAAGATTCCGTGAGTCTATCGACTGATTCATCGTCCCGTGGACAATGTTTTCGCGGAGCTCGTCGGGCGCGCGGTTCACGAGAACGCTGAGCTAATGACATTAATACTTTTGTTTACGTTGACTGGTAGCAGTAACAGAGAAACTGAAATTATTTTAGTCTCAAATAAAGGTTCATTTGTCTTTCTAATATTCTCTGATTCTTGGCATCATCTGATTCTATTTTCAACTATTTATTTCCTCTTTCATAAGTGATCACTGTTATATTCTAATAATACGATAAAGAAATTAGTATTCACTTCTCGAACTACAATTATTTTCGTCTCCAATAAAGGTTCATTTCTTTTTCTAATATTCTCTGATTTACGTTGACCTGACATTTACGTTGACTAATAGCATTAACAGAGAAACTGCAATTATTTTCCTCTCCAATAAAGGTTCATTTCTTTCTCTAATATTCTCTGATTCTTAGCATCTAATTCTATTTCCAACTATTTATTTCCTCTCTCATAAGTGATCACTGTTACATTACAATAATACTAAGATGTCGATGTTAAAATCCGTAAAGCATTAAGTATTCTCGAACTTCGCATCGCCGTAATGACCAACGCGGCCCTCAACGCGCTCACCCGTCTCAGCCTGTATCTCGCGAGAGACGAGCTACCAACAAACACGTTGAACTTGAAGGTAGACAGAACGAACGTCGGGACCAAGGGGAAAGCGTTCTAATTCCGGCGAACGGTATCGAATGAAAGACCTGAATAAGAGACAGCCCCGCTTTTCCGTTCTGTTCCAGAAAATCCTGCTACCGTTGCGTCGTCATTCACGAGAAGCACTCGAACGTTCTCCAGTACAAAGAAAGTAAGTACAATTCGGGAAGAACACTGCCAGAGAAAGAGAGAGAGGACTCTCTTTCGCTCCGCTGCTAACCGTTCCTCTCCTCCCTCCATCTTCCTCTCCCTCCCTTTTCTTTCAGCCTCCTCCGTCGACCTCGTAATAGCAGTTGTTTCGAGCGATCGATAACGATTTCCCGGCCGGCCCGAGGAAATCCATTCATTAATTAGAATGCCGATCGGTAATTAAAAGCTCGAAGATGACGGGAAGAAAACCGTGGACGATCCGTGGAGCGGGGACGCGCGCCGCTCCCGGAATAATTCTCCGGGAAGAACTTAACGACTTTCGTTCGTTTCGGGGGACGGAACGGCTAGGAACACGCCCGGGTTGCCGGAGGGTCAACGGGGCAAGGGGGAGGGAGACAAGGGGAACGAGGCACGGTTCTGCTAATTCCGCGCCGGGGCTACGGGGTTCGTTTACACCGGGAAAAGAAATCGAGAGCACTTCGCCGGATTCTGTCGTGCAATCAGCCCCGTGCCTCGTTAATACGCCGTCAACGGAACGGATTGCGAACTTTCTGGGACGTGATAATGGTTCTCGTTCCGGATATTTATCGAGGACCGCCGCGCGCGGATTATTGCGCGGCCTAGCCGCCGGCCACGGTTCCTGCCTCGAATTACAGCCCGCGATTCTTGAGTGCTCCGCTTTGCATTACTGCAGGATGAATGGTTCGTTGTGCGTGCGCAATGGCGACCGGGTCGTATTGCGACGGACCGGATGTTTGGAAAATAGTGTGACTGCGTTTGGAAAATCTCGAGCGGCTGAAAGAATGCGAGAAAGAGTGTCTGGAACTGACTGGACCGCGAGGAAAGCGTGGACCCTGTTCGTGTTCCGGATCGGTGGTTACCAATTTTTAATTGGTCAGCTGGACAATTGGACACGGCTCTCACCCGAAAGCCAAAAATGAATGTAATGATATTCCAGGCCGTGAAAGCATCAAGACTACGATTCTTGTTAAATTTAGAAATCTTCATCAGTCTCACTCGTCATCGTACGGCAAGGGGTTAATTGATTTCGCGAGTGATGTTCGATGTATACGTCGCGCAGCCCGATTTCTAAGGTAACAAACCAACCTGCACGCTCGAGTCGATGTCTTTCGTTGCGCGGAGCGGCGGGACCGAGGCCCTTAGGCGCTCTCTGCCTGAAAGAAGCCCGAAATTGCTGGCTGTAACAAGAATAACTAGCGAGCATTGTGGACGAGCATTCCGGGCCGTGTGCAGACCGTTCCCAGATGCAAATCGATACGGGAACAATGGCTTACAACGAATCGGGAACCGGTTGTTGGAAGAAACTCGTGAATTATAGACCGTCGCCGGTCGCGCTGACCCATATATGGTTCGCGGGGCCCTCGCGACGGAGGCTGCATCTCGCCGGTAAGAAGCTTCTTGACCCACATGTGGGACGATAGATCGAGGGCGTATTAAATATTAGAAAAGGCGGGCTGCCCCTTTTTACGAACGCGGCAACCGGCGCTCGTGGCTTCTCGACAATCCGAGAATGCCTCGGAGATCGACGCGAGGCATTGCGAGCGTGCTCGTTTCTCGGAAAGAAGACCGGTTGAAAGGAATGCGGCACTAATTGGTCAGAATGGAGCGGATCTTTTGTCGCGTATGAATTTTCGAGAAAATTCGAGGCAGCGAGACGAGCGTTAATATCTGAGCGAAGCTTCAAAGGGATTCAATTATGTTGAACCTTCCAATTCGATTCCCGTTTCTCGATTATCTCGTTGATACCATTATCAAAGTGATTACTCATGGAATCACGTTGCAACGCCAAACAGTTCATAAGTATTCCTACTTTCCTTTGCTACAAAAGAAACTCTATGGGAAAACGCTTAAGATTTTCGTGGCGCTTAACGTGTTAATTTAAGAGGGAAGACCTGTACACTGAGAGCTATATCGTTCTATTTATTTCTATTTTATTCAACTATCTATTCCTATGCTTTTTTTAAATAAAACATATTTAAAATATCATTAATACCTCAACACCGCAATATAAACCAACGATCCAACAGGACGACGCTAGACGAACCTCATATACAAAGATCCCTCGGTCTTTCCAGCAGCGTGCAACATAGAATTTCCTACATCGCGGAATCCCGTAGGGTTTCCTATGACAAAGGTTCCGCCGCTCCGATACACGCTGTCAACAACGCGCCACGGCGCGGCTGCACCCGCGATATCCATCCATTAACCATGGGGAGCCGATTTTTGGCTGGTCGGCTCGGAAAGCCGATCGAACGAACGTGAAACGAGCTGTATAGCCGTAGAACGGTACCGAAGGTAGGGCGCGACAACGCGAGACAGGTGAAGTTTGGCACCGGAGCCAAGCCGGGGAGGAAAGAAGAGGGCGGACCCGGTGTCCGCGTATATATGCACGGTGAAAAAGGGGGAC